TCAAGAAAAAGTGAATACACCTTTCGTGACTTTGGGGATCGTCCTTTGGCAGAAGACGTCATCGTTGATGTAATTTCCGATGGATTAATGCGTGGAATGGTGCAAATTTCGTAAATCCTACAACAGAAGAAGTTCGATTTACGTTCTGCACAGTGGGTAAAGTTTCATTCTAGAGCTGTGTGCGTACGAGTGCTGTGTTGCTGTGTGGTGAAACAGAACGAAGGATTGCGATTGCAAAGTCATAGTGAAGGAAAAAGTTCAGCGTTTCATCAATAATATTCGGATTTCATACGCTGTGTTGTTGGTGAATTGATCAGGCAAAGCTAGGTGTAATCTTCAGCTGGATTTTTTTTTAATCTTCCGTTTTGCCCAATGTGTGTGGTCGGTCAACACCATTCGAGTTTGACGAGAGCTCTGTTGCTCTTTCGCTCTCTCTCTCTCCTGCACTGAACTACTCTTGAAAAATCACTAACGTTTTGCTCTTTCTCTGCGAGCTGCTCCCCATCTGCTTATGGAAGTGTGCGTCAAAGTCGTCGGAGTGCGAGAACAACACCGGCCGACAAAATTTTATGGTAAAATTGATGAATAAAAATCAATACGTTTTTCCTGTTATAAAAGCTGGCGTACAGTTCGGAAAATGTAATGAAAATGAATATAATAAAACATTTTTTTTTGCGAATAAATATTAAAAGTTTGATGTTTTGAATAAACTCAGGTATTTTTTTACCTTTAAGTAACGAACCAGCCAGTGGCTGAAAGTCACTCTTATAAAGAAACTAACAAAATTACCGTTTTTGATTTTTCACATGCAAACATATTAAAAAAAGTAATCAATTTCATCATAAAGTTTACCGCATGGTTAATTCACATTAATTGAACATTAATGAGAAGATAGTACCAGAGTCAGAGCTGGTAAATATCATGGCCATCATGTGACAATGAGAAAACAGGTCCTCTTATCAATCGGCAGAGTAAATATATTAAGGTTTCCGCGGTACAAGCAACAATAATATCAGTAAATGAGCTAGTAATAGCGATGTTAACAACACTGTCACGTTCTGTCTTGACGAAACAATCGATGAGATTTTGAAGTAATTCTCTATCATCCTTTTCTTATCCGATGATAGTGACTGAAGTATCTCTGTAAATATCGCATTGAAAATGAGAATTGGGTTCTTTAAGGGTATGGAGGTGAATGCATATTCGTAATCTGCATTAACAATGGAACCCAAACCCAAAATTTCATCAATTTTGGTACACTGGAACCATTTTAAATAAGTACGATTACATTTGCAAAAATCACCTTATTAGCGCCCCTCAGTGTCACTTTGTATGGGAGCGAGCTGTCAGTTTGTTAGTTTAGTGTCAAACAGTGAAGTTATTATTTTGCTTTAATCTTGATTTGAAAATCGAGATGTAAGTAAGGTTCGAAAAAAATATCGCTGTGCTCAGAAAACGAAGCTCTTTCAGATGATGTATAAACAACGATACATTTTTTAAAATTAAAAAACCCAATCGTCAGCCATGACCAGAGTGATTATGAGTAGTATACAAGGGAACTCAAAAGAAAACCGGAAGGAATTCCAAGAAGCATTTCAAGACAATCTTAAGAAGATTCAAACCTTAAGATTTTCTTTGGAATTCCTTCCGATTTGCTTTTGAGTTCCCTTGCATACTACTCATAATCACAAGGGGTAAGTCACTCAGCACATTGTGCCGGAATTATATTCTACACAGCTTGGGCACATCCATCGGCACATTTTCAGCATACCTTCGACACAATCTCAAAGGCATTAGATTGTTGTAAATAAAATGGGGGCAGCAGTTCACTTATAGATCTACATACGAAATGTAGGTTCTAGAGTGGACTCAAGAGGAAGAGGCAGTTAATCAGACCTCATTAGTACCCTTAATTCAAATAATGCTGCAACTCACACAAAACAAACTAAAGAAGTCTATTAATTATCCTCTATAGTCGGTCTTCAACAATACTCCCCACCGGTTCCAACTCTTTCCGGCCGAAAGGCTAGGTTTCAGTACTTTTATTACTCCATGGATCACAAAACACCGAAATTTCGCACACCCGCCACTTCCCGCGTTATCCTCAATCCGATTTATCCTTGCGATTTCAGGCTATAACATTCAAGGTGTCAGAAGTACCGGGTTGCCGGGATGGGTATTTTACAAACAATCGCAGCTTGCTCTATGACCGCTCAATGCAATGATATGCTCAATCAGCATACTTGCGGCACACTGACAAAAAAGATGGCCTAAAATTGGTGTGCGGAGTGACCTACCCCTTGCATAATCACCATAATAGCATAGAAGTAACTCTAAGACCAGAAGGTTCCGAAGAAACGTGCTCAACTTTTTGGCTCAGCTCTGGTACTATCTTCGGTCCCAAGCTAATTCATTACCCCTTGAAACATAGGAAAATCCACGAACCCCTAATTTTGTTTGTCAAACTTTCATAGCGAATCAAAACAAACAGGGTAGTACTAGAATGAATTTCGACTGGAATGGGGTACGTTAATCGATTTGCTTGGGACCAATCCAGCTTTCCATGCTCGGTAATGGCGGCCTGTTTTGTATGAATACATGTATTCTTCACTGTGCCATCTGGAGGTTTGTATTTTGATCCCTCCCTTTCTCTCTCCCAGGAACAGAAGAAAATAAAACAATATACGCCCTCCAGTTAGCGTCAAAAAGCACAGTGAAGGATACATTTATTCATACAAACAGGCCGCCATAACCGAGCAAGGATGGCAATCGTGGCTGAGCTATGTTTGAAAACCGATCAATTTCCGGAATTGTCGAACATTGCAAATAACTTTCAAAATGTCACGTTTAACCACGATTTGAATTTAACTCGGCAATTGGGACACAGGTCAAGAAGTATTTCTCGATGATTTGTTCGAAGAGACGTATCAGCTTTTGTAAACAACGCATTTCTCGATGAACATTTCAAATGGTCCTATCTGCTTTGATCGATTCTCTTCATCGACTTTCTCTTTCGTCAATAACTCAGCTGCAAAACCTTTCCTTGTTGTATTTGACGTTTTGGACGCTAGATAAGAACCTCCTTTATCAAACTATGTGGTAGAATCAGCGCGAAATCTGTTTGCATAGCAGTGGTTATGAAAAGAGAAAGTCGATGAAGAGAATCGATCAAAGCAGATAGGACCATTTGAAATGTTCATCGAGATTTGATCGTCGATTTCGCGTAAGAAATTTTTCCCTACCTGCTATAGTGGTATTAGCAACAATCAATACGAAACTAACGATTTTAAATTGGCTCACCACTTTAGTAGCCTATTGGTCCCAAGCAAACAATTAACGTACCCTATTCTAGTTGAAATTCTATTACTACACTATGTTTGTTTTGATTCGCTATGAAAGTTTGACAGATAACATAAGGGTGTGTGGATTTATGCAGAACATGCAGGGGTGAGTGAAATAGCTTGGGACTGCTTGGGACCGTTGTTCTGGTACTGAGTGAGCCAAAAATAATAATGATTTTCTTCGGGACCCAGTGGTCTTAGAGTTACCTCTATGGTATTAGCATAGAGGTAACTCTAAGACCACTGGGTCCCGAAGAAAATCATTATTATTTTTGGCTCACTCAGTACCAGAACAACGGTCCCAAGCAGTCCCAAGCTATTTCACTCACCCCTGCATGTTCTGCATGAATCCACACACCCCTGATGTTATCTGTCAAACTTTCATAGCGAATCAAAACAAACATAGTGTAGTAATAGAATTTCAACTAGAATAGGGTACGTTAATCGTTTGCTTGGGACCAATAGGCTACTAAAGTGGTGAGCCAATTTAAAATCGTTAGTTTCGTATTGATTGTTGGTATTAGTATGCGTTGGCGAGCTATCAATTACGCCAAACCAACGATAAAATGCGTTGTTTACAAAAGCTGATATGTCCTTTCGAAAAAGTCTCCTAGAGATGAACTAGCCTAAGGCTAAAAATCTCTTAAATAAAGAAATAAAAAAAAAAAAAAAACTTTCGAAAAAGTAATAGGGATTTGTAGAATGCGGGATCGTTATCATTCAGACATGGAGGTTGATCCACTTCGGAACGCTTGCGACATCGAGGCGACGCCGCTGCCAGCAGCCAGTGATCTCGACGGGAACGACGCGCAAGGTTCAAGGTGCAAAACTCGAACGCTCCGTGGAGAGTTATTTCCTATCGATTGGTGTATTTGGATTTTAATTTCATCTAGAAATGACAAAGTTATAAGCGTTCAAAACCTTACACCTTTTCGTGACGGTCGCAATTTTGATTTTCGATTTACCCCCAGTACCTTCCCGTAAGACGTAGTGTACGTCAAAAAAAAAAGATTTTTTCTTAGTAATTTTCGTATCAAATGGTTTGTGCTATGTCAGTTTCTTACTAAATGAGTTCAAATTTTGGGAGGCTGTGGTTGTGGAACTGTGGAGCGAACATTTCAAATTTTGCATCAGTCGGGCATAGTGTATGATTCTAGTGTTCAGAGTCATAAGGGCCTAACTGCGATGATCGATTCTCTTCATCGATTTTCTCTTTTGTTAATAAGTCGGCTAGATTCACGATACGTTTAATGTTGCTTTTGCTAGCTAACTAATACGACCTTTCACTACACGTTCTGAATAGCTACGTCACCTGAAAAATAAAACTTAAAATTTTGCCGGTCACTGTAACAATAATAACAATCGCCAGTCAATCGACACAGCGACGACGAACATTCGAAGCAGTGGAAAGGAGAGAGAGAGAGAGCGAATCAGAGCGGAGAGAAACATCAGGAAGATCAAGTAGAATAACAACAAAAATAACAACAGCAGCCAGTAGTAGTTGGGGCAGAACAAAAAAAAAAAAAAACAAGAACAAAAATCAGAAGAAGAGCGCACCACAAGAAGAGTGTGCCAGAGCAAGTCCGACTCCGAGCAATCAGTGCAGTGGTGTTCGTGCGAGCGATGCATACTAATATTAGTAGTTCCTACTAGGTAGGACTTTGTGTGTCAAAAAAGTGGGTCCCTTTGGTCGCCCCTAATTCAACACAATAAAAAAAGGAAAATAAAAGCAAGGCGGTGGACCAATCGTCTTTTTTTTTCGGTGAATCCTTCCAGGTCCTGCTATTTGCTGCAGGAAGTGAAGCAACTCTTCCCGGAGGGGCAGCACAGAAGACAGTGCCAGTGGTGTCTGAATAATTCGATTTTGTGGAAGTCGGGCTGGTTCTCGCTATTATGTAGATCTCGCCGTCGCCTTCGTTTTTTTCGGTCCTGTGCCTCCGCCGTGTGAAGTCGAGTCGCGAAATCTTATCGTGTGTTTTTTTTTACTGAGTTGATTTATTTTTTGTTCGGTTTTCTTTTTCGGTTGTGCTCTATCGCGTGTGTGTGCTAAAGTTGTTTCGACTCGGATTTATGTAGAGTGTGGGATTTCCTGTTTAATCAGTGCACACAGAGGAGAACAGGCTTAAACTGAAGCAGCAGTAGCAGCAAATCTCGAGTGGTGCGAGTGGAAGTTCTTTGTAGTCTGCTCTTCTGGTTCTGGTCCGGAAGCAGGAGCCACCCAGTGAGAGTGCACAACAGTCAACATCGACGACAACGAGAACAAGGAGGGAGCTTTGCTAGGAAACGGAAGCCCTCGGAACATTCATGAGAAGAGATGGGAATAAAGGCCAGCACAGCAAATGGTGGACAGTCCAGTCCTAGAGCTAGAACCTTCTCCACTAGCAGCAGTTCGGATGTCGTGTCCGCCGGTGCAGGTAATACTACTACACACTACTAACATTACTTTCACTGTATCGTTTTACATTCACTACTACCTTTCAAAAGGGGCACTAACAACATTAGCAATCATATTGGCCAGGAAGCTTATCTTCTTTCTGTGGCAGCTGGCAGTCAGCGTGCTTTGTCCAGCATCTCAGCCACACAATCCGTAATACGAAATTTGAAATCAATTGGAAATATGTTATATTCTTTAACATGATCAATGCTCTTGTATGGACATTCTATGGATTTTTGGTTTTTGAAGTACACGTGAGTCACAAGTAGTCACAGTAGTTGATAATACATTGTTGCTCTGGTTGTGGCAGATAAAGCAGACGGCGAAATGCGCAACTCCTGCTGCAATGGGGATCGTCGCGGACAGTGTTGTTTACCGAGGGAAATAACAACTTTGCTAGTGAGCTTTTTTTAACCCGAGACGCCATTGGGCGCTTTGTTTGGTGTTTATTTTTCTATTTGCAGATTGGGGTATCTAATCAGAGACAGTCACAGAGAGTGGCACTCTTCAAGTGATGATAGCTGCTATACTGAATAGTGGGCAACCGGAAGATGTTTACTTCCTGTTTATTTAGGATTTGATCAAAATAGTCATACTGCTTACTATCTTTTGTTTCAAAAGATAATCTTTATCAAAGTGAGCAATACTTGAAGGAAGTGGAGTGATGGCCAAGCAATTGTTTGGTTTCAGCAACCCAATTAATCATCGAGCAGGTTTGGAACAACGTAATACCAAGGATTTTAAGAAAATGAAGCAATTAACTCCAGTTCGATTGGTAGGAAACGTCATTTTGAACTGCTCGAATGATATTTCCATAATGATATATTTACCTCCAATTCTAGATAGAGTAGGAATTAGGGCGTAACGCTATTGTAAACAATGACTTCTCTCGATGATTTCTAGAAATTCAAGGATCGCACACGCAAATCAACATCACCATCGGATAGGGGAAGTCTTATGTTGGTCTGCATGGGCGTGTCTTGAATTCCTTGAAATCATCGAGAAAAGTCGATGTTACACCCTAATTTCAGCTCTATCTAGAATTGTTCACAGAATGTTTGCTGCATTTTCTCAATATGTCTACCTAAACAAACATGGGGGTTGTATCCGAAACGTGAACGCAATTTTTTTTACAGTCTACCGATAAAACAGCTACCGCTCCGAAAAAAATTACCTTTCGATTATTCTTAAAATATGGGAAAGGGATATCAAAAATAAAAAAAAATAAATCATTTTTTTTTCTAATTCATCATGGCATAAAGTTGGACTCAAAAAACCACAAACATCGAATTTTCGGTTTTGCTGCATTTTATCATGCTAAGATAGAAACAATATTTTTACATGTAATTTTTGTCAGGAATCTTAGGAAGAAACTGGTTTTCTTGGATTTTTTATATTTTTCCCAATATTTTTAGAAAAATACAAACGTACCGAAAATATTTTTTTTATATTCCGGGCGGTAAAAGCTTCAATCCTTGATTCAAATTTTTGAAATTGGGTGACTTGAAATCTGCTTCATGATTTTACGTTCCTTAACCGAATAATGTTTGTTTTTTCACCAAGTGGATGACATTCGCTAATTGAGGCGTATTTTTTAAATCAAACCAGAGTTGAAACGAGCAATTAGAAGTGAAATGTTACGTCAGCGTAACGTAATGGCGAGTGAATTCTGGACTGAAGTGTTCACCATCCAATAGAAGGGTGTCGGCTACCTGAAAAAACCTGGAAAATCAGGAAATTTCAGGGAATTCCTTTTTAGTCCTGGAAAATCAGGGAATTTCAGGGAATTTCTTTAAAATTCATGGACATTTCATTCAAAGTGTTTTTTATGTTACTTCATACGCGAAGTTAACGATTTTCAGAGTTGGTTGGAAATGCTAACATGAAGCTTTAGTGTGATGATTTATTAGCTAGAGAATGATCTTTAGAAGAGTGTAGGTGGATAGTTCCGTTAGAGTACGGCAGTATGAAAATTGAATAGAAGTTGAAAATGAGCGAAGGGCCATTAAAGCGACAGTTTTCAAGAGATAGACGCACATTTTTGCCTAGCCCGTACGATGTACGCGGGGACTTGAAGTATGTCTCCAAGTCCACAGGCAAAAATGTGCGTCTATCTCTTGAAAACTGTCGCTTTAATGGCCCTTCGCTCATTTTCAACTTCTATTCAATTTTCATACTGCCGTACTCTAACGGAACTATCCACCTACACTCTTCTAAAGATCATTCTCTAGCTAATAAATCATCACACTAAAGCTTCATGTTAGCATTTCCAACCAACTCATGGACATTTTTTTATATCTGTTACGCGCGCTACTAAGTCTCCCCGCGCGAAGGTGCGGATTCGCGAAACTTTGTCAACCGAACGAAACAGATTACTAGGCGGAAATCGAATGCCGCTTCCTGCTAGTTGCTTTACTAATGAAAGCCTATGCGCCTGGAAGGAAGAAAAGAGCTTCGCTCCGTATGATACTGAACTTCCAGTAAGAATCACCTGTAGTGATCCGTCTTCTGCTAGAGAGGCCTCAAAGAAAGCCTATGCGTCTGAAGAGGAATCTAAGGATCGTCTAACTGGCTCGCCAGGGAAATTTCGGTATGCACTAACAAACAGCAGTTTGAAGGCTAACCGTAGAACTTCGATTTTATTCAATTCAATTTTCCTTATATTACTATTTTTATGCTTACTATACAATATTTACAATTGCACTGATCGACACTTATTGGTTTAATTCGGCGCATCGAGCCGCGGAATCATAATGCTGATCCTAGCATAAGCGATTTTGGACTCGCTCTACTAGCCCGTATGAGAATGGTTCTTCCCCTCTGGTTTGAGGTTCGATTTAATTTGCAATCTATGTTTGTTTATCGATGCGAGCCGCGGTGTGCTTTGGGTTTAATTTGTCACGTCGGTAACAATATCTTTATTAAGGAGACTTTCAGCCCTGGGCTGGTTTATCTCCGCTCTCATGGAAGTATTTCTTAATTATGAAAAGTATTTCGTTAATTTCATATAATTTCATTACTCGTAAATTAATCACACTTTCAATAAAATTGTGAGTTTGGCATTTGTGATAGTTGAGCAAATAATTACTTAAACAAAGAGCATAGCCTTCTCCAGCTGCATCTGTATTGTATACAAATTTCAGATGTATTACGGTTAGAATTATCAAAATCCTAAGAATTTACACGCTAGTTAGTGTCCGTGAGATTCTGCTTGGAGTACTTAATTTTGATGATTTTAGACCTGATGTCTAACTCTGGGTTGGCACGTCCCTGAGTTGAAGTGGAATCTAGAGGGTCGGTAAAAATCCATTTTCATCTTTGAGTTGATTTTGACAAAATGTATGCTCCAGTGGATTACCGAGTTTCTGGGTGGCGCTGTATTTAGTTGGGTCGAACAAAAATGAAACCACGGACAAACCGTCATGAAACTCAAACTTAACGTTTCCTCAAAAATCTAACACGTCCGTCGATTCCATCTGTCAAAACCATAGAATGTTTTATCTAGATAAAAAAAAAGTAGAAGGGTCTGTGCCTAGAGGCACGAACGGAAGCTTGACGTAGGACCGCTAGTGGACGGAACAAATATGTTGATCATTTAGTTCTTAACCTTTTCCGTTTTTGAATTGGTGGCCCTGAAAATGGCCGGTTGTTTTTCAAATGGTGGCCACACCAGTGCAATAGTCAATGCTGACCGAATGACGGCGGCCTAGTCATGCTGCCTATTGCGGGAAGCCTTTCCTCCGGTCGATGTGGGTGTTTTCGTCGTCGCCGTTTTCGTATTGGTGCGATGCGTACTGTTCCACTCGGACGTCGTGTCCGACGCCTATCCGTCCGTTGCTCGAAAGCAAATGATGAAGAAAACGATATGGCAAGCATTTTTATAACCGCTGCTTCTCTCCTCCCTTCCTTTCATTGGTGAAATTGTGAGCGATTAACCGAGAATTGAGCTCGCTCATGTGAGAAAGGGGAATGTGTAGTGTGTTCGATGTGTGCTCTATAGTTACGTCCGTGTTTGGGATTTTTCGTTACATGTCTGAATTTTGATTTTTTTTAATGTGACCCCCAGTATAGAAATTAAAGACGTAGTCCTACACAGCAAAAAAAAATGTAATATCGATCAACGTAATTCAAGCTGATGTATGAAATAATGATGTAATAGCAAAAAGCAGATACAATATTACATCAATGGATGTAATTTTGTTCGCAAAATCGATGTACATCGTACAATGTGATATTACACAACCGATGGATTGACCTGGTTGCATCAGTTTCGATGTAATATTCAACAACTTTTTTTGCTGTGTACGTCAATAACATGTCCAGAATAGATCTGACATGAACCAATCCATAAATGTTGCACTAGTGTTCGTGGCATAGATAAACGTTTTCCGCGAACACGAAGACATATGTCAGTACTGCGCTTTGCGCAGAAATTTCATGGTAATGGTCATTCATGTCGATTTGTCGATGATTAAACCATACCTCTGAATGGGTTGGAGCGTCTTCGTGTAAATGACGCATTTTGCACCAAATCGTATTCGGAACTAACAGCACCCTCTCAGATTTCAGTAAAACTTTCTGGAACTTTTCATTTCAAAACTAAACCAGTGAAGGTCATAATCTCCTCTGAATCCAATTCTTCGATACAATCGATGTAAATATTAATATTATTTGACAAATCTCAGGTAATCATGACAGCAGTTGGTCTCTTTTCTTCATTCATATTGTTTTCAATAATCAAACGTCATGATTACCTGGGTTTTGTAAAAAAAGGTAATAATTTACGTTGTTTGTACCAAAGAATGAAGCTCAATGTGCAAGTCAATTTTGTCTAATCAGCAACTAAGTTCACTTTGATTAATTATGACGCATTTCTTGCCAAATCGTATTCGGAATTGGCAGCACCCGCTCAATAAAACTTTCTGGATATGTAGACCTTGTCAAAAAATATTATTCTTTTATTATATTGTCTACTACTGA